GAATTTATCTAAGGGTTGTGCGTGAATGAGAAGGTTTAGTCAACTAACTTCCCTTTAATCCAACTTAAAATAGGTTAAAACGATATAGTATAGGGATTAAAAGAGTGGGAAAAAATCAAAATGACCCTAGCAGAGCAGAAAAACTGAGTTATGTAGGTTTCACAAGACCATCTACGCAGTGACGGAACTAAGACTTTTAATAAGGGGTTCAAAATCTGAAGAACTTAAAATAGGTTTCACAAGACCATCTACGCAGTGACGGAGCTAGGACTTTTAATAAGGGGTTCAAAATTGAAGAACTTAAACACACGAACTAATCGAAGGGGGTTCAACATCTACTATGTATACATAAAAAAATAATTCTAATCATATATAAATAGTAGTAATATTTTCCACCGAAAGGGTTCAGATGAACCCCTAATAGAAGGCTGGCTCCACCGCTGCATCTACAGTCCATGGATTAATGATCTACCAGTTGTAGATACTTCTCGTAGAAATCAAGCTCAAATTCAGAGTTTCTGAGGTTTGATTCACGAGAATCATTTACGATCCGTGATTCCATCTGCGGATCCTAAAAAATGCTCGTAAGCATCAGGCTAAAAACTGAGTTTAGGACTTTAATCTACAGACTAAATTACGATCCATAAAAACTTCTACCACTTGTAAACATAGCCCGTTTTCTGAACTTTGATCTACGAGTAGCATCTACCATCCGTAGTTTGAACTCCCATGATTTGATCCGGACCTTAGGTCTATTGGGGTGTTACAATATTATATCTAGTTTTTAATTTAATCTAATATGAAAAGAGCGCATTTATCGTGTCATTATATTCCAAGTGAGAAAAAGAACATTATGTGAGTTTTGTGACTAACATAGTACCTTGATATACTACCCTTCTTGACACATGGTCTTGTACTTTGTGACTGAAATAATACTTTTTTTAAAAATTTATTTTAAGTTATTTTTAACATTGTCAAATACCTTTTAACTTATTTTTTAAATTATTTTTGATTTATTTTAAGTTATTTTTATATTTGTCAAATACTTTTAGAAGTAAAAAACTGACTCAAAAATAGATTTGACCAACTTTTAAGCAATCCAAACACCCTCTAATTCCATGTCATAGGATTGTGTGAGAGTATTTATGATTTTTAATAATTTAAAAATAAATAAATTAAATAATGCTAAAAATAATTTAATAATTGTGTGAGAGTATTTATGAGTTGAAAAACAGTTGGAGATGTTAGCAGATGAACAAGTTGCTGTGCAAGAAGTTAATTAAACCTACTTTAATTTACTTATTATATAGCTTGCAATTAGTTGAAGTGCAAGAAGTTTATTAAACCTACTTTACTTATTATCTAGGCTATTTGCTTAAAAATACTAATTACGATCTCTACATATATATTCTAGATTCTTAGTTTTCTTTTTGTAGGATTTTTAAAACCTCTTTGTTTTATGTAATTAACTACGTACCATGCCTATATATATATATATATTATCAACCATTTATTTATATTATTGACTCTATTTTATAAGTTGTGAAATTTTGTACAATTACATATGAAATAATGGTTTTAATTATCAATCACAAGGGGCAAAATGTAACTAATTTTCATTTAATTTTTTTTTTTTTAAAAAAATATCAATAAAAATTAACGAAAGGATTCCGGTCTCTAAAAGATCCTATAATATCTCTTTCTGAAGTTATCTACGACTAAAATAAAAATTAACGAAGGGAAAATGTTATCGCAAAAAAAAATACAACGACCAATTTTTCTGTCGTCACTAAATATTTCTTAACGACCGGACTAAAATTTGGTCGTCCACTTTTAACGTCGGAGCTACTAACGACGGGAGACGACCAATTTTTTTTCAATCGTAAGTGACTAATAACGACTGGATTTACACTTTTAGCGACTTAATTTTCTTTCGCTAAAGACCCATTTTCTTGTAGTGGAATACAATGTTCTTAATACAAATATAAAATCAGAGTAAAAGAAAAATAATTGACAAACAAAATTAATATGAATACAATTCTGGTATTAATACAATTTTTGCTACCTTCTTCTCTGACTCTCTCTCTCTCTCTTCTTCTTCTTCGTCTGCTATGTTCTTTTTTCTGATATTTTGTTAACCAAAACCAAATCCAAAATTCCGTATTCACTTGTGCATAAGTAACCCTATAAGAAAAATTCGAAATTATTAAATATGAATGTATAAAAAATCAAATAATATATGATGTATGAATGTCAATGTAGGTTTCTACAATCTACTAAATCTCAAATATGAAAACAAATACAGAAAATTCAAACAAAAGTGCTTAAAAGACGAAAAAATTCAAAATACATAAAAGAGGAAAAATCTCACAAAAATACTTGGTGAATATGAAAACAAACTCACAAAAAAAATCAAACAATACTGATTAAAAGATGGAAAATCTAGAATACAAAATACTTGGTGAATATAAAAATAAAATCACAAGAAACTTCAGAGAATACTTGTTGACTTCATACTTTATCAATGGGCGAAGAATCTTTTGAATTAATTGTGAGATTTCTTAAACAAAGTGTAGGAAATTTAAAAAGTTGATTTTCTTGAAAAAAGAAAGGAATAACAATGGTGAAAAAGGGAAGAGAGAGAATAGAGTGACTTGAGGCAAAAACCGAAATGGCCCAACTGGTAGGCCCTAAACATCCTAATCAAAATAAACAAAAAGGAAATAAAGAAGGGAAATTTTCAAAATGTCTATATTTTTATATTTAGTAGGACTCCTTAGCCACACTTTCAATATTATTTAACATGTTAATATTTTAGTTTGTTATGTATCTGATTGATGTATTTTTTATTTGTTTGATTTAAAATAATACAATTATTAAACAACAGAAAATAGAAAAAAATTATTATGTTTTTTTCGTAATTGTATACCAATAATTTTTACATTTTATGTGTTCACTTTACCATTCAAATTAAAATTGGTATATTTCTTTCATAATGAAAACTAAAATTGTGTTCGAGTGAAATTGTATTACATGACTGCCAAATATATTTTTCTTTTATTTGTATTACAAAAATATTATTGCTTGTATCCCAATATAATTCAATCATTACATATGAATATGATTTATGAAATGATACAAGATTTTGGAAAAATAGCATACATGGTGGAAATAATACAATCTGTTGATGAGGATACAATATTTCAAAAAACAAAAATACAAATTAACTATGAAAGAAAGATGGATACAAGATTCTGAAAACAAAATAGCATACATAATGAAAATAATTCCATTTGTTGAGGAAGAATACAATATTCTAAAAAAAATACAAATTAACAATAAAAAAAATAGGATACATTTATGATTAAGAAATACAAATCCATTTGGCATACCTATTAGAATGACTACAAACTAAAAAAGAAATACAATGTTCTTAATACAAATACAAATGCTGAGTAAAAGAAAAATAATTGACAAACAAAAATAATATGAATACAATTCTGGTATTAATACAATTTTTGCTACCTTCTTCTCTGACTCTCTCTCTCTTCTTCTTCTTCGTCTGCTATGTTCTTTTTTCTGATATTTTGTTCACCAAAACCAAATTCAAAATTCCGTATTCACTTGTGCATAAGTAACCCTATAAGCAAAATTTGAAATTATTAAATATGAATGTATAAAAATTCAAATAATATATGATGTATGAATGTCAATGTAGGTTTCTACAATATATTAAATCTCAAATATGAAAACAAATACAGAAAATTCAAACAAAAGTGCTTAAAGACGAAAAATTCGAAATACTTAAAAGAGAAAAATCTCACAAAATACTTTGTGAATATGAAAAAAAACTCACAAAAAAAAAATCAAACACTACTGATTAAAAGATGGAAAATCTAGAATACAAAATACTTGGTGAATATAAAAATAAAGTCACAAGAAATTTCAGAGAATACTTGTTGACTTCATACTTTATCAATGGGCGAACAATCTTTTGAATTAATTGTGAGATGTCTTAAACAAAGTGTAGGAAATTTGAAGAGTTGATTTTCTTGAATAAAGAAAGGAAATAACAATGGTGAAAAAGGGAAGAGAGAGCAAGGAGTGATTTGAGGCAAAAATCGAAAAGGCCCAACTGGCAGGCCCTAAACATCCTAATCAAAATAAACAAAAAGGAAATAAAGAAGAGAAATTTTCAAAATGTCAATATTTTGACATTTAGTAGGACCCCGTAGCCACACTTTCAATATTTATTTAACATGTTAATATTTTAGTTTGGTATGTATCTGATTGATGTATTTTTTATTTGTTTGATTTAAAAGAATACAATTATTTAACAACAAAAAAGAGAAAAAAATTATTATGATTTTTTTGTAATTGTATACCAATAATTTTTACATTTTATGTGTTCACTTTACCATTCAAATTAAAATTGGTATATTTCTTTCATAATGAAAACTAAAATTGTGTTCGAGTGAAATTGTATTGCATGGCTGCCAAATATATCTTTCTTTTATTTGTATTACAAAAATATTACTGATTGTATCCAATATAATTCAATCATTACATATGAATATGATTTATGAAATGATACAAGATTTTGGGAAAAAATAGCATACATAGTGGAAATAATACAATCTGTTGAGGAGGATACAATATTTCAAAAAAATAAATACAAATTAACTATGAAAGAAAGATGGATACAAGATTCTGGAAAAAAAAATAGCATACATAATGAAAATAATTCAATTTGTTGAGGAAGAATACAATATTATAAAAAAATACAAATTAACTATGAAAAAAATAGGATACATCTATGCTTAAGAAATACAAATCCATTTGACATACCTATTAGAATGACTACAAACTAAAAAAGAAATACAATGTTCTTAATACAAATACAAATGCTGAGTAAAAGAAAAATAATTGACAAACAAAATTAATATGAATACAATTTTTGTTACCTTTTTCTCTAACTCTCTCTGTCTTCTTCTCGTTCGTCTGCTATGTTCTTTTTTCTGATATTTTGTTCACCAAAACCAAATCCAAAAATTCGTATTCACTTGTGCATAAGTAACCCTATAAGCAAAATTCAAAATTATTAAATATGAATGTATAAAAAATCAAATAATATATGATGTATGAATGTCAGTGTAGGTTTCTACAATCTACTAAATCTCAAATATGAAAACAAATACAAAAAAATCAAACAATAGTGCTTAAAGACGAAAAATCCGAAATACATAAAAGAGGAAAATCTCACAAAATACTTGGTGAATATGAAAACAAACTCACAAAAAAATCAAACAATACTAATTAAAAGACAAAAAATCCGAAATACAAAAATACTTGGTGAATATGAAAATAAAATCACAAGAAACTTCACAGAATACTTGTTGACTTCATACTTTATCAATGGGTGAAGAATCTTTTGAATTAATTGTGAGATTTCTTAAACGAAGTGTAGGAAATTTGAAGAGTTGATTTTCTTGAACAAAGGAAGGAAATAACAATGGTGAAAAAGGGAAGAGAGAGAAATGAGCGATTTGAGGTTAAACCCAAAGAGAGGGGTAATGGGTAATGATTTTAAAAAAAAATCAGATAGTGGAATAAATAATGGTCCAATGTCGGACTGATTTGAGAAATAAAAGGAAAGAAGATTAATTATATTAGAATTCAATTTATTTTCTAAAATATTGATATTTTTAATAATTATTTTAAAGTATAGATATTTTTAATAATTATGTTAAGAATTGTGACTAGTTTACTAATTTTCCCTTTTTTTTTTGTTAATTAGTTGAGCTAAGAGCTCTTTTATTTCAGATTAAAAAGTGTACAATCTGGCCCTAACGAGCCCAATAGAGAAGCACAAAAAAAATCTGGCCCTGATCCAAAAAAGACCGGCCATCGTGTCTGAAATTTATTTTCAAATTTTCTCCTTTTAAAGTTTGGAAGAAACGATACTATAAAAGATTAATAAATAATATATTTTTTTGGATCTGAATTTTTAAAGGATAATTTTTTTTTTTTTTTGAGTTTAAAGTTCTTGCGAGAAGAAACCTACAAATACGTATCCAAAGTTTTTATCAAGTATGCTTTGTTTTGAAAGAGTTGTCCGCTACAAAAGATTTTATTATTTTTTTAAAAAAAATAAAATTGTTTTTTTCATTTTGAAATTTTGGAAAAGGAAAAAAAAACTCTCTGTTTTTTTTCCCGAATTTTTGAATAAGGACCTAAACTCAATTTTTTGATTTTTTTAAATAAGGATTATCGAGTTGAAGGAGGAATACCTATATATCTCATTAAGGTGAGAATCTGGTGTGCATAGTTCATTCAGATTGGACATTTAACTTTGTCGTTTTGATAGATTGAAACCTTGCTAGAAAAATACAACTATTTTTTTGTTTTTATGAAAATGTTATGAAAGAAAATATCATTTGTTTTTTAAATGAACTAAACATAAAAAATAAAAAACCTTTTCGTGATTTTTGCTAAGAAAAAAATAATATGCCTCTTTTTTTTTTTTGTTGATAAAAACAAGACCTGGATAAATTTGAAATTTAAGGAATATGTGCATACAATAGAGGAATACTTTACTCTCTTCTATTTGCCTATGGTTCACTTCATTTTTTATTGAATTTCATTAGTCTTAATTAAGACGTCTAGTGGCAACCCCACACATACATCGATCAAGACTCATAAATGTAACCTCAATTTGCTATACTAGTTAATTCGTTGAGCCAAATGTTATTATCTTATTAAAAAGTCTTCGGGTCAAGACAATGTAAATGCGACCTTGCCATTTTATTTACATATCTTAATTCGGGAGGTGAAATTATGACCTCAGTCAATACGATATATTATGCATACTCTCGTTAGGGATTAACACTTGAAGCATTTATTCTATTAATTCGGGACAATTGTTTAGTCATGTTTCACTCTTTTCTTTAATTTTTAGCGAATTTTGAATTAATCAGCAACTCACCTCGCTTCTTCGCAATATTTTCATTCAAGTCACTTCACTATCAAATGCTTTAGTCCTCTATCTATTTCCTCAAAAAAAAAAAAAATCTCAATTAATGTACTTATTCCATGATCTGATACAATTTAAAGATCTAGCCGAAAAGTTTGTATGCATATGTTTATGTCACCAAAACTAGAAATATAATAAACTATACGAAGAGCTAAGTAGAATGAATCAAAGTAATACATAATTGAAAATTGTATTTCATTAAGTAAAAAGATAGAAGGGTTCGACAACAAATTAAAACAAACTAATTAAATTTTAGCTTACAATCCTACAATAACCCAAAAAACAAAACTACGACAAGAATCATCAAACATTAAACATACAAAATAAGAGAGAATTAATAGAAGGGTGTGATACATTATAACAAACAAACTAAAATTTGGATACAACCCTAAAATAACTAGATAATAGAAATGACGACAAAACAAACTATCAGTTTAAATTTTTTGACATTATACTTCTGCTATATTGACTATTATTTCTACGTATTGACATAGGTTCCATCATGATCGATCGCTCGGCTCAGCTTCGACTTCGGAAAATGATCGATCGAGAGATTATTTTTGGACAAAGTTTGTTCTAATTATTTAATTAATTAAATTAAATGGCCAAAATGTTTCAATTATTTAGTTAAATAACCGAAACGTTCCGACCCGACTCGGATCCGCGCGACCCGTTTTATTTAAAACACTTTCCCGTTTTATTTGAATTCCCGCCGTTGGAAATGACTGTTCTGAAAGGTTGCAACTTTCAGGAACAACCAGAACCGTTTGAAAGGTTGTAAACTTTCATAAATGGTCGTGTGGTTTATGAAAGGTTGCAACCTTTCAGAATCAGTTCCTCTTGTCTATAAATACCTTTGATTCCTCAGATTTTTACTTACGAAATTTCTGAATTGTTGTTCTTCTTCTTCTACACAAAGCTTAATCGTGTACTTCATTGCCGTTGAGTGGCTCGGTGACACCAGAGTTTTGGGTATCAATACACTGGTGATTGAGATCATTTTATCCTGGGAGGACATATTCTAAATTAAACCTAGGATACTAGAGGGAAATAATTTTCTTAAGGGGACACTGTGCATTCAGTGGACTTGATCTTCATTCCATTATGTTCTTCAAATTCTGGTACGTTTTTACATATTTTAGTTTTGATAATTAATTTATGTTCTTCACTGCTTCATCGAAACTTTGTAACTTCGTATTTCTGCAAAGTTTTTGATAATCAATAGTACTGTTTAAACACAGATTGGCTAACAAGTTGAAAACTTAAAACCACAAATATGAAAAGAAAAGAAAAAGAACCAGCATAATGTGCAAATTGTCATTGTCTCTAAGTATATAAATGTGCCCCTTTTAACTTGCCCTCTCATTTACTTTTATTCTCTTTTATTTTCGGTGTGCATAAGTAGACAAAGTTAAATAAGTAGACACATAAGTCTTATGTGACATAATACATGTAAGACACAAATTGTCATATAGAATGTCACGTAGGATGTATCTGTCTATTTGTTCAATTTTATACAAATTTAAATATTAACTTTTAATTTGCACAATTAAAATTGAAAGGCATGAATGTGAAATGATGTCAAATTAAAGGAGATATTTGTTTTATGCTTTACAGAATGGACATAATTAATTTAACACAATCCATAACACTGACTATTGATGTTTTGTTAATTCAAATAATTTTAGTCTTATCGACATGAAGACCACGTAAAATATTGTTTAATTGTTTTTACCTCTTCAAAAATAAATTTCACATTAAATAGTTTTTTAATTCAATAATTTTGTACTTAATACTTAAGACTTCAAAATTAATTAAAATTTTGTTTACTAAATCTTTCTTTCTTTCTTTAATTAAACTATAGTGAATATCCTGATATTTCTTTAATTCTCCATGACTTTCGTTGAAACTGAAGGGAGCAAAAACAATTCATAAAACTTTTGATGAAAATTAGTTTGTATTTAATTAATTAATAAATGTTGTCGTATTTCTACTTTGTTGTAGTGATTTGGCCAACAATTTAATGGGACCAACAAACTTACTGCCTCCTTTGTCGAAAGAAAAAGGCTTACTCTAGCAAGAGAAAATGGAATAACTATTATAAGAAAACAGACAGTTCAAAATAGTCGTAGAATTAAAGAAGTTAAAAAAAATCATGTTTGAGAAATATTAAATACTAAAAAATATTTCAACTAAAAAATCTTATATGGATATTTTAAAAACTAAACAATCAAAAAAAATAATTTAAAATTAATGTTTCATACTTTCATTAGATATTTAAAATATAAATGAGCCACTTTTGTTAAGGTAAGGATATGCATGAGCCACTTTTGTAATGATAAAAGTATATATTAATCACTTTCATAATAAGACATATATCAGTGCTAAATTGTAAAGTTGAAGAATATATGATGACCTTTTTCCTTTATTTTTTGTGTCAGTATTAGAACTAGAATAGAGTCGATGTTCATAACAAATTCTAATGACTAGTAGTAACTTTTTGTTAGTATTCAATAATATATATGAAGGAAAATGACATTTTTAGTCCCTGAGTTATCGCGTTATTTTAATTTTGATTTTTGTGATATTCGACTAAGCACTTTTGACCTATTTTGTTCAATTAAGCAATGCATATTTTTATTTTTTATTTGATGACTAACGGATATCATCAAACTAAACGGACCGATAACTGTTAGTAAGGGCATTTTGGGTATTTAAAAATTATGTCTTTTGCAATATACAACTGTCGGAAAAACACTACTTCTGTATATATACCCTAAGAAATTAGTTTTTTTTTGCGTATTTATTTAGGTCACAATGATATTTATAAACTCAAAGAGCTATGCGTTATTAAGGAGTGGAGAAATAGAAATGACTAATTATTAGGTCCTAGGATTATTAGTAGGATTATTGGTAGAAATGATCAATTTAGTGAAGGGAGAGGCGTTCTTTGCATCGAATTTTAATTTACTTAGTAAAATAATAACTTTTACTCCATAATTTGTAATTAATGGTCTCAGACTTGAATCATGACTACTTAAGAGAAAAGCTTAAGTCATCTATGATCCCATAAAGTTGTCCGCATAATTCTCTTAAACACCTCAACAAAAGCTTGTACCTATTGAACATATGCTCCTTTTAAGTCTTATACTCATATGAGTAAAATCTAAGGCTTATACTCATATGGGTGAAATTCTGGCACCCAGTCATACTAGATACAAACTTTTATAAAGAATTCAAAGACTCAAAACCCTTAAATCATTATGAAAGAAATAAAATTAGTATGATAGTGCATTTCTAACGAGCAATAATATTATTTATTTTTCCTATTGAACTAGCTGGTTATAGGATCTCTAGTTGCAGGTTGGCTGCCAATGATTGTTAATTAGTGAGGATGAAAAAACAAAAAAGATATTTATATGGATTATTGACTATTAAAAGTTGAGTAATATGAAGAAAAAAATAAAAGAAAAATGGAAGATAAATCCTTGTTAGCAACTAGTAGTAATATAAAACGCG